AAAGTTAGAAGGTTGGTATATTATGTTCTTCCCACAAAATTTCAAGAACATTCCAACAACAAATTGTTGCTACCGTTACAAAGAAGAACTATATCTTCTCTCTATCAATATTATATATTTACTTCAGTTTTTTTCTAAATTAAACTAACGATTTATCTTGAAGGTTTATGAAGCGTGAATGGCCAAATTGATCCAAATTTTCAAGGAAAAGGACGCACATAGATTTTAGTCGCGAGTAGCTGATACTGATAGATCATAAAGCTTTGGAACACCGACAAAGCGGGAATAGAGTAAGATTTCGATTAGGACTCACTTTATTTCTTCGGTTTATTGAATTAAGACAAAAAGTTGCAGCCCTGATTCGGCGACCTCCATAGACCGACACAGGTCCTCTTGAAGCCATCTGTTTCCAGTTTCCACAACCCCTTTTGCTGGAACACGAAGTTTAAACCCATGAACCCTACATTCAATCCATACCCAGATGAAAATTATGCAAAAATTAGGCGATTGATGAGGCAGACTGCGGATCATCACAACACCCTATCGGACAAGGATCCGCCCACCGATTTCAACAGCAACCAAGAAACCAAATGTGGGTTCAGTTCGATTCGAGTATTGGGTACGGTTGTGGTTTTGTTGATGTTCATTTCTGTGATCTTTTCACTCTCTGTTGTTCTTAGAGACCCGCCATCTGATGCTGCAAATGATGGCTCAGATATGTGGATTCCTCAGTGGAACTCTGACCTAGGTACTCGATTTTGAACTTTCTGTAAATTGCTTCTTGCTCATTGCCATGTGAATTTCAGTTCAAATCGCTTTCAATTCATTGTGTGTCGAGTTCTTGAAGAGCCACCTTGTATTCAAACTGTTTGAGAAATTGACTGATTCAGTACTGAATGTTTAAGCTATCAAAATGATTTGGAATTTTGTGGCAATGAACTTGGATAAACCATTCAGACAAGTGCAGTATTTTTATTTGCCTCTTCTATCATTTCCACTACATTGTGAATTATTCTGAGTTCTGCCTACTCTTTCTTCATGATGAACTGACCCAATAGAGACAAAGATAAGAGTATCTTCAAGACTTTCCCTTCTTTATTGTGAGATAATCTGTTCTTATGTGCTGCTATATATGTAATCTAATAATTTAGTGTCTGATACTTGGGAAATTCTTCATAATTAGTCTTCCCCTGTAGCCATTTACAGTGAAATTTGTGTCGTTCCAAGTATAATCTGTTGGCCTTCTTCTTTCAGTGGATTCTAAGGATAGAGATCTTCATACGGCTATACAGCCAGAGGATAAACTGCTAAGTGGCCTTCTTTCTGCCAAACATGGTGTAGGTTCTTGTCTCAGTAGGTACAATTCAGTGTCTTATCAACACAAGCTGGCGTTCGAACCCTCTTCTTACCTGATCGCCCAATTGCGGCGTTATGAAGATCTTCATAAGCGTTGCGGAGTTTATACCGAATCTTATAACAAAACTTTGGAGTGGCTTAGGTCTAATGGTAGTAGCAGCTCCTCAGACTGTAGATATCTGATATGGATTTCCTTCAGTGGATTAGGGAATAGAATACTAACTCTTGCTTCGGCGTTCCTTTATTCTCTCCTCACGAATCGTGTCCTACTAGTCGACCCCGGAACCGACATGACTGATCTCTTCTGTGAACCATTTCCTGAGGTTTCCTGGTTTCTTCCCCAAGATTTTCCATTTAAAGAGAAGTTCAGCAACTTCAACCAGAACTCTTCTGATTGCTATGGGAAAATAATGAAGAACAGCATGAGAACAGATTCAAGTGGAGTGATCTTGCCTTCTGTTGTTTATCTTCATTTGGTGCATGATTATGATGATGATGATAAGCTTTTTTTCTGTGATCAAGACCAAGCTCTTCTGCAGCAATCACCATGGCTTGTTATGAAAACAGACAACTATTTTGTCCCATCTCTCTTTTTGATGTCGTCATTCGAGAAAGAACTCAATGATCTTTTCCCGAATAAAGATACCGTTTTCCACTTCTTGGGTCGATATCTGTTTCACCCCACGAATTCGGTTTGGGGACTGATTACGAGATATTATCAAGCTTACTTGGCTAGAGCTAGTGAAAGAATAGGTATTCAGATTAGAGTGTTTGATACAGGGACTGGACCTTTCCAACACATCCTGGATCAGGTTCTGACCTGTACCCTGAAGGAGAATCTGTTGCCACGAACCGATAGGCAGACGAATATGACCGGTCCAGTTAGTAATCCAAAGTCGAAGGCCGTGCTGATAACGTCCCTGAGCGCTGGTTACATGGAGAAGTTGAGAGACATTTACTGGGAGAATCCAACAGTGACGGGAGAGAGAATTAGTTTCTACCAACCAAGTCATGAGGAACACCAGCAAACTGAGAAGAGTATACATAACCAGAAGGCATTAGCAGAGATGTATTTGTTAAGTACAACTGATGTATTAGTCACCAGCTCATGGTCGACCTTTGGATATGTGGCTCAAGGTCTTGGCGGTCTGAAACCATGGATATTATACAAACCCGAAAACCGTACTGCCCCCGACCCACCTTGTGGTCAAGCCATGTCCATGGAACCCTGTTTCCATGCACCTCCTTTCTATGACTGCAAGGCTAAGAAAGGAGTTGACACTGGTAAACTTGTTCCTCATGTAAAGCATTGTGAGGACATGCCCTGGGGGATTAAGCTGGTTGATCGATATGATTGATTTTGCTGTTTTTTTTGTTGTGATAACTGTTGGAATGAACAAATTTTGCAGTTTGTAAACTACTGAAAAATATCATCGGTTTAAGCTGATATATTTTAGATTCCTCATATGTAAGATCCCACGTCGGTTAGAAAAGGAAACGGAGCATAACTTATGAGAGTGTGGAAACTTCTCCCTAGTCGACACGTTTTAAAACCATGAGGCTGATGGGATACATAATGGGCTAAAGTGGACATATTGCTGCTTAGGTTGTTATGCCATATTTCCAAAGTTTCCATATGTATTATTATTTAGATTTGGTAGTGAATTTAAAAATAATTTAGAGTTTGAACCTCTTTCTCTCACTCTAAGGAGAATGTCGAGAAGTTTCCCACGGCCGTCTACCAACCCACAACAAGAGATGCGAATGAAAGTGTCAATTCACCAGAGACATGCCAAAAGAGATAAAACGACTTGTCTACCGTGACCCAGAGAAAAAGAGAAGAAGATAATATAGTTTATACAATAAGAAACAATCTAAAAAGGTTATAAATGAATTAACACGTAAAAAGTAAAGAAGAAGTGTTGTATCGATGTAAAAGTAGTGGATAATATTGTGGAAAGTGGTAGTAGACATCACGTTTCGACGGTGACAATACTTGATTCCATTATTCTTAAAGATGTGAAGCTTGATTTTTCTTCTTATAACCTAATCTCGAAGATAAACTTGTATCTCTTTCTAGTTTCTTCTCAAGATTATATAAATACAGTCAAATTATACTAAATCTTAGGTTGTGCATTTAACCTAACATACGTAGATTTTACACGATAAGATTTTTTTTAAAAAAAGGGTCAAATACTACTTTATAGTCTTCAATAAACCATGCAGTTTAATGGAAAATGTTTTTGCATTTTAATTGGTTGAAACTATATAGTATAATCCAAAATGCAAAGTTTATTTATGTTATAATACTTGATACACATAAACTTTGTAGAAAAGTATTGGGATTTTCTTTACATGGAAATATGGATAACCTTCATCTCCCACCCAAACAAAAAGGAATTAAATTAAATGTATTAGAAGTAAAATGTCGTAAATAATTCAGTGAATTTTGCTACTCAAGAATTCAAGGGGTGGGGTGGAATATTTTCTTGTAAAAGTTTTGGTGGGTGATATAACGAACTTCATAGCCAGCTCTGCATACCAATGCCATGTGGCAACTCACGATACGTCCACATCAATCACTATGTGTGGTGTTGTCAAAGACGTGATCGAATCGAACCTTAAAAGTAAAGGTAACAACTCAAGCTCATCACTACCATATCTTCGTCAGCCTCACAGTTTTAAAATGCTTCTTTTAGAGAGAGGTTTCTACCATCTTATAATGGTTGGTTCGTTTCTCTTCCCAACTAACGTAGGATTTCACAGTCCTCCTCCCTTGGGGGGCCAACATCCTCGTTGGCACACCATTCGATGTCTGGGCTCTAATAACATTTGTAACAACCAAAGCTCACCGCTAGCATAGATTGTCTAATTTGATCCATTATGTATTGTCGTCAGCCTCACAATTTAGAAATGCGTCTTTTAGGGAGAGACTTCCAAACCCTTCTAAAGAATGTTTTGTTTTCCTCTCCAACCTAGGTTCGATCTCACAGTAAACAAGCGTCGTTAAATTAAGACCCATTTGATAATATTTTTGTTTCTTATTTTTCAACTTCTTAATTCTATTTTTTTAATAACTAGAAACGAGAATACGTTATACACGTTCCTCATTTAAAATAAAAACAAACATATTTGACCGTCCTCCATCCAATTTGATCACAATCACATATGTGAGCCAAGTTACACAAATATTTTATCGACTAAATTAATAAAAATACTCGTATATTTAGTCTTAAAAAATAATATCTTTTAAGCTTTTAAAATTTTCAATAATACAAAAACCCTTAAACTTACAAATATATATATATATATAATTTATATTTTATTTTAAAAATATTCTTTTTAAAAAATATATATTTAAAAAATATCTTTAAATTTTCAAAAATTTCATTAATATTCATTAATTTTTGTTAAACTTATTAAAATAACTTCAAAAATAATTTTACCCTATTAAAATAAAAAAAATAATAATAACATATAAAGTGTCAATAGATAAATTGCATGACAATAAAATAAAATAAAATAAAAAAATCAATTGGTTTTTACATCCTAAATTCACATTAATTAAGCTCTTAAAAACAACCATCAACTCCAAATTAACATGTCTCATATATAACATAAACATCAAAAAGATTAGAACAAAATTTAATCAAAACTTAAACTTAATCATAATCATAATCATTCCTAATGCACTAATTACTTGATTATCATATAAAGATCTGAATATGAAAGCGAATATCCACATACTTATGTTTGCTTGTAAAAAAAAGAAAGAAGACGATGGAGATAGAGACCATCCATTATCTTTATAATAACATCATCAATGGCTGCGGAAGCCATTAAAGTACTGATCCAAGATCACTTTCAAACCACCAAACCCAACTCCATTTACACATAATAATAATGATGGCATCGGTTTGGAATTTTCTTCAGTAATTCCACACCATGTTGGGATTCAATGCCACAGTTGAAGCCGATGGATTCTCTTGATTTTCAAATGGAAATCGACCCATTTCCAGATTCGAAACAACAGAGCAGATTTCATTGTTCATATCAGAAATTAACCCTTTTTCTCCCTCTGGTTTGAATGTTCTACCCATGTTTGGGAACTGTGGATTGTATGATGAATTGGGATTTGTGTTTCTTGGGAAAATGGAAGAGAAACTGAAAGGAAAATCAGTGATTTTGGGTAAGGTTCTTTGAGAAGAATCCATGGAGTTGGAGAAGCAGGGCACGTAAGGCGATTCAGAAACTGGTTTGATCTTGAATGAAGATGAAGAACACGAAGAATCCTTCAATGGCGACAGAGCTGAAGAACAAGAACCGTATTTAACTAACCCAGAAATATGAACTTTTTTCCCTCCACAGCTCTTCTGAAACACCCTTGAAATAACCCATTCGTTCTGCAGAACAAAAAGAAAAACAGAGTGCTCTGTAATTTCAAACGATTCTGAGGGGTAAACAGAGCAAAAAGTTCGTACCTTTGCAGAGTTTGAGAGATTAATGGAAGAGGGTTTGCCTTCTAATCTGAATTCATGCATAACCCAATTGGATTTTTCACCTTTTGGAGCTCTTCCACAGTAAAAAACAAGAGTTTTCTTCATACCCACAAGGGTTTTTCCTCTGTAAATCTCTTTATCTTTGCCTGTGGCTTTCCAATACCCTGATTCAGTGGCTCTGTTCGTTCTCAAACCAGTGGGATATTTTCTATCCCTTAAACAGAAAAAATACCATTCCTTTTCCCCCATTTTCGCTTTCCCTTCAACAAAAAACAAACAAAATCAGTGATTTTAAAGCGAGATATAAAAAGGGTATGAAAAAGTTTCGATCTTACAGGGCAAATCCCAGGGCTCTGACTTGTTGAGATCAACCTCTCCAATGGGTTTGCAAGAGAAATTTGAATCCACCACTTTGTTGCAGAGATAATGAGAAATAAGCTCTTCATCAGTTGGGTGGAACCGAAATCCAGGCGGCAAAACAATCTGGGATTCTTCATTAACAGGACATGTCCTGTTTTCTTCCATGTTTTTGTTTTACAGAAACTCAGAGATCCTTGCAGAAGAAAGCAAAAACAGAGAGATTACAGAGAGGAGAGAGAAAGAGGAGAGAGAGAGAGAAGTGAAAGTGAAAGAAAGGAGAAAGAAGAAAAGTGGAGAAGTTGAGCTGATAGAGCGAAAGGGGAGGAGAATGAGAAACATGAAGTGAAGTGAAGCTCCATAAAATAATATGCTCTGCTTAACTGACTTTCCTATTTCACTCAACGTGGCACGCCATGCCATGCCATGCCATGCCATGCCCAACTATTATATTATAAATTTGGTCTTTTAACCTACTTTCGACCATAGTTACGCTAGAAACAAAAGTTTCCATATGAGTTCCCGTTCTTCGGCATGGTTGCAGGATCGATACGGGTCGTTTAATTTAGTCTAGTACAATGATATCGTTAGTATGAAAATAATGTGCGTACAAGCTTAAAATCGGAACCCTAAAAACCCTAGTTTGGTCATTTGAAGCACATGGCGTGAAAAAACTTAGTTGCGGTCAATATTTTTTACATTCTTGCGTGGAATGTTAAAATTCCATTATTTCGGCCTAAATTTCGAAGAAATATAGCCTATAAAAGTGTATGTACGAAACTTTAATTGGGTTATATGATGCAGACACATAAAAAAATCGAGTCACGGTCGATAATATCGACATTGTTGTGGGGAATATTAATATTCAAGCATTTCAACTAAAATCTTTTTTTTTGTTAAATACAACACAAGGATCCCATTTTACCCTTATTTTTAAGGAGAAGTATCAGTGTCGTCGGTTCTTATTGTTCTTCACTGTTTTATTTCATCGTGTTCTTCTTCTTTAATTGAATCTTTTTTAATGATGATTTTCACTTGATTATGTCCAAATTATATGATCAAACATCCAAAGTGTTGTAATTATAATTGAAGTTTATGAGCGATAGACTTCACTCACAATGGTAACCAATGAGCTAAGCATCGACATTACGATATTTTTATTAGATTAAACTAATATAACAATGGAATTAAGTTATTACAATGGAATTAAGAATATATTCCCAAGGACATTTTGGTAATTACACTTCATGTTAATTATATAATATAGTATTATATTACTTAAATTAACATTAAGCATAAGAAGAAAATTCAAGTATTGACTAAGTAAAGGGGAATAATACTTTAGGATAAAACCACCTGCTTTTTAAGAATAAAATGATTATAAATGAGATGTTAAATAATAATGTAAAATAATTAACTTTATTAGCAAAAATGCACAAAAATAAAATATTCTCATACTTATACGCCACCGTTTCATTCCATATGAACACAAGAATGTAAAACCAATTCCCAGATTTGGATTGTAAGAAGAGGGCCATTCTAATTTTATTCAAACTCTGTTCACTGAAATTTTCAAACACATTCGAAGCTACGACCAACGTGTCGAATACTCGTTCATATACGTATGTGTATACATTATTCTCTGCATATGGTTAGAACAGAGATTCAAGCTAAGAGCTTTTTTTTGCTTTCTTGTCTTGCCAAGCTTTCCTCTCCGCTTCTATCTTTGCCTTAACGCTTGCACGAAAACCTTTATACGGTTCGTATTCGAATAAAGCTTGAAGAACCTGTAAATAGATAACGAAGTAATAACATTTTTTAATATTTCGTTGTTATACAGGTCGAACAGGATCTGTTCAACAGTACCATAATGGGTTTGTTCAAAGCTTACCTCTAACAAAACGAAGAACGGAGCCATTAGAAAAGCTTGAGTAAGGTTGTCGATCAGAGCGGGTGCTCGTTTCTACCGAGTGAAACCAAAAAGCAACGTCCATGAGGGATTAAGTTTGAAAAACAAGTTGAAGGTTTGAGATGTTTAACTAAGTAGTTACCTCGAATACTCCATGGCCAATAAACTGACTTGTCCAGCAGAACAACTGTGCAGCCAACACTACCTGATATATTAGATGACAAAATAACCAGCTTTAGCTATAAATTCTGCAATAATTTGAACATGTCACATAGATCCAAGTGGTACTCGAAAGTTTACAGATGTGAAATGAGCGGATCACAGTACGTCGAGTCCTCGAAGAAACTCGAAAAGGGTTGTGCCTATCAAGTTATGACGATATCAAAAAAAGAAAGGGATACAATGTCAATCATGTTATGTACTGGTGCAGACTTTTGGAAAAAGGTGGCCATAGGTTATCTAAAAGGAATCTCATCTCCAAGCTGGTCCGACACTCAAAAGCTGCAACCTATCTCGTCCCAAATATCAGTCACAGGCCAAGCCTACCGATAGCATATATTGTCCTCTTTGGATTTTCCATTTTGGGCTTCCTCTCAAGGTTTTTAAAACGCGTCTTATATAGAAAGGTTTCCACACCCTTATAAGAAATGTTTCGTTCCCCTCTCCAACCGACGTGGGATCAAACACAAAAACTTTGAGATAATTCTCACAAAAGTACATCAGATAGAGGCTCAAAATCCCTTCAAAATTGATGTCTATCTAAGTTTAGCTTAGTTCAGCATCAAGAGGACGAGGACGATAAAAGGACACGTTGGGTCGAAGGAAGAACAACATCAATCAGTGTTCTAAGAAGATCTTTGTAATATAAACCAATCAAGAAAAGACTTGCTGCCAAATTAAAGTGTCATTTGAACCTAACCCAACTATTTCTTAGGCATGCGGCAGGACTTACTTTACTTGCAGCCAGAAACCAACATTTTTTTATTTTTACAAACAACATAGCTAGAAAAGTGTGTTGATAATAAGCACAGACGTTACACGAATTTGATAAACAAATGGAAAGGTGATGTCTATTCAGTTCTAGCTACAACATTTAAAGATCAGTAACAATTGTGAGTGGGGCAACTGATCAGTAAAAATAAGTCTAAACAACAGCTGAGATATCTATTTACAGACTTTGATCAGAAAAAAGAACAAGAAATAAGGCCTTATAAGAGCTACCATATGTGTTCTTAGTTCTTTAAGAACAGACGGTTTGCCAACATAATTCAACAAATAAATAGGAGCAATAAATTCCACAACAACCATAAAGTGGGAAGAATTAAATAAAGCTCTAGGGAACAGAGTTACATAAATGGTTCAAATATTCAAACTCAAGCAGAAACCAGACAACCTAAATAGGGCTATTTAAAGATCTGTGAAAGAATTAAAACAAACAAACGGGAATCAAAAGAAGAAAGAATGGCGTTCACCTTCCATGTAAGAGTGTAGCCAAGCTTAAAAGCGAACACACTAGCTCCAACCCAGCAGAGAAGACACATTAAAGCCGCCAAAGATCCAGCTCTCTTATCCAAAAGTACGTAGAAAGCGCCATAAATGAAAGCAAAGAGAAACCCAAAATTCAAAACGAGGCCAGTGTTGAACCCACAAGGGCATTTGGGGAGAGAATAGAAAGAGGGGGTGTAGTAGAAGAGCATGAGCGCAGTGAAGAAAATCGGCCAAACAAAGAGAATATGGATGAAAATATTAGTTGGGTTGCTATGATAAGCGCCATAGAATGCAAAATGCCTCTCGAGATCGAACAATCCGCGCCTTCCCATCGGAACTTTTCCAATTCAAACGAGAAATACAGAAAGAAATGGGTGTGAGAAAGAAGTGGGAGATTGAATGGGACTAAAAAGAGGGATAAAGCTAAGGGATTACGAAAACCAGAGCAGGAGGGCACATCGAAATATGTGTAATCGATGTGTGGAATGGCAGGGTTTTGGCATCCGATTTGCAGGTTTTGGACTTTTGAATTGGAACAATGGAAATTTGAATGCTTAGTACCAAAGGTTGTGAAGAACAGGAAGCTCCCATGACCACAGAAAAGAGGCCCAAACAAAGGCAGGACAATTGAGCGTACCAAATTAGAGAGTTGCAACAGCTCCAAAGAATTAGAAAGGCCAGCGCCAAGACCCATGATGCAACAAGAAATCTAAAATTGGGGCATGATCATCACTGCCCATCTCAAATTGAGAAGGGATCAAACTAGTAGAAGCAATCAGGTAGCCCAAAAATCCAAAACTAGCGGCTGCAATTTTAGGGCCACTAAGAGGAAGCTCGAATACTCCAAATTAATTAAACATTTAGAAGATCAACGCTTGCGGAAGACTATTGAAAAAAAAAAAATCTCCAAAAAAAAATTAGTCTATATTTGTCTCAAACAGCCTCTAATCTATAAAAGTTTTGAGGAGATGATTTTCAAATTTGATTAAATCATATGTAAATATCGTAATATATTGAATCAATTTAAAATTTTGATTTCTCATTATATTTTATCATCTATTCAATCATCACTAAAATAGTGTATTGTGATTCGTGACTGCCTGCTTGGTGGAGATGACTTATCCATTATGGGTAAACAAGAAACTCGACTCTACTAATTCGAAGACGTTGTCCAAGAGAAGGAGATGAAAGCAATAATGCACTCCACTTGGAGAGTACGATCACAGGACCGATACTCAAAGAAATTGTCGGTAGCCTAATAAAAAACGTGTAAAAAGAAAATGAAGAATCGTCCTCAATCAAGTACGAGTTGTAGATCCGTGCTGAAATCTCTAGTGGCCTCCTCTTGAATGTCCTCTCTTGCTTTTGGACACATTTCAAAATTTAAATATAATAATTGACGTAAATATTTGTAAATGATAAAATATGTATGAAAAATACTTTATAATGTTTTTTTTTAAAAAAGTTAATAGACAAAATATTAATAATATAAAAATTTGATAAAATAGTGATTAATAATGGTAAATAAATAGTTAATAATATATTATTTATGTAATTAACTTTACATTTGATAAATTAACAATATTGAAGATGACCGACATAAAGGAAACGGGTATGCTTAAATGTGGGGTCATGATGAGTTGGAATGTCGTTAATCCACGTCAGTTCCACGACTTAGGGGTATAGCTGGGACCCACAAGTCTCCATATATTATATTTTTTTATTATAATAATAAAGCTGGAGGGACCAGTGGAGCACGTGTGTTGTTATTGTTTTATGTGGAACAACCTGGACGGCGTCGATTCCGGTTGTGTGAGATTACTTTATTTTTAATTTTTAAATATGTAAATATATGAAACTACGTTTTTAACCTTTTCTTACGACTATTTTGAAAAAAAAAAAAAAAATTAAGCATTTAGTTGATTTAAAAATTTCTTTAAAATTAAAATTAAAATATTTCTTAATTAACTAAATTATGTTCTAAACTCTAATATTCTATTTTTATTGAAAACAAAAATGTGAACCCCCATAACTCATACCAATACAATTCAAAAAATTAGAGTATATTTTGCTAGCTGATCAGAAATGTTCCTAGAAATTCCTTCTTCCATTGGACCATTTGTATCTATATGGTATTAAGATCCCGATGCATAGATCTCTCGGTTCGAGAAATCAAAATAAGAGGATCGAACTATTTCTTCCGACCCTTTTTCAAATTTGATCTTTTTCAAATTTGATATCGAATTTGATAAATGTTGATTGATCATATATTTCATTATAGTTCTATGATTCAGAGTATCATTTCCTATTTGATTCCTTTGAATTCCATATTCGAAGTTGCGATATATTCACTCACATAGGTGAGTATGAAGTAGTCTTCACTCATTTTGGTCTCACATAGGTGAGTATGAAGTAGTCTTCACTCATTTTGGTATGTGGAAATAGTCTTCACTCTTAGAAGCAAGAAAACGACTCATGTTGATATGTGGGGATAATTTTCACTCTTAGAAGCGGGATGTAAGTAACACAACTATGTCGAAACAAAATACTATAGACATTAGATGCCAAATCCACATTCCGAATTCTAGACAGTTATCGCTCTTTTCCCCCATTAAGATCGGTGAGTAAAAACGTTGAACCGTCAACGATGCTTTACAACTTCCCATTCTCCATGGGAATCTGATTCTTTACTTCACATTTGATGGAACCAAACTCATACCCGTTTCATCAGAGAATCTATGAGCTCCCTAATAACCGATCCATATAGTTTCAAAAGCATATGAGAAGACAAGAATCGAATAGCAACCAAAAGCATGATCTGTGTATTAGAAAACTGAAACAGATAGCCAATTCCAGTTCTTACAACAGATTGGCAATGCAAAGAAAGCAAGGCACACACTAAGAAAAACCAGAGGGCCTTGCTCATGGGGCAAACCCCAAATCCTCACTATGTACAACACAATCTCAAAAACAAAAGAATTCATCAACTAATAATCTTTCAATTTGCTTAGTGTTATCATAGCTTTACACCTTAAGAATCAGGTGATTCTCTTCCCTTTTATTGCCTGATGTGTCCCAAGAACTATAAGAATATAGATCCTTCAATGTTCCTTCCTTGTGATATGGTAATGGTGAACTTAATGATAATTCACCCGCCATTGCTAACCGTTCGAGCTCGGATTCGTCTAATCCTTTAGCTGGAAGGATGCTACATCGGTCGGTTCCGTGTTTCGCCAATGCATCCTTGAATTTCTTAATCTGCAATGTCAAAATGGAGTATGGGAAGAATTAGATTCTAGCTATGGAGATTCTTTTGTTTGTGTTCAATCTGGGTCATTGTTCTTACAGTTGAGATTGTACAGCTAAAGCTACAAACGCGACCTTCTCCACCTCTATAGAACCTGAAGAAGGGAAGAACACGAATATGGAGAGCTTGGCACATGGTTTTGAGCTCCTCAAAGTTAACTTTGAGAAAAATTGCATCAGGGTGTAACTCAGCTAGTTGACAGATCTGATATAGAAATGGATTCAATCAGCAAAATCCCAGAATCCAAGTTCAAAATTGATTCCTAATGCATAACCCTAAACTTTAAACTAGAACAAGAACTTAAGCAGCAAACAAGATAATATACCTTAGGATGAAGGGTTTTGCAACCTCCACAGCCAGGGGAATAAAAGTCAATAATGGCTAATCTATCACCAGCATCAAGCAATGCCTCCACAAGGGCTTGTGCAGAGTGGATCTCCACCATGTTAGGTTTCAAGCTCTTTTCCCACCATCTCTGACTTCGCCCAATACAGATAGAAGCCTGTGCCTGAAACCACAAATCAATTTCAGACCCACTAAAACATTACCAAAGAGACACTAAATCTGAAACTGGGAATTATTACAAAGACGAAATCGGGGGCTTACATTGATGGTTAGGACATTTGGGGATTTAGGGTTCGAGTTTCTAACGCCATTTTGATCCGAAACCACGACAGGTCTCCCCAAGAAATCGACGCGCAAAACAGGGAACCCCTTCTGGGTCGACCCTTTTAAATTAGCAGTACAAACCCCAGAAATCACAGACGATTTGGAAGAACGGAAGTTATCCTTGAGCCCGGAAACAGAGAGACCAGTCTTCAACGAACAAGCCATGGCAGAGAGAAATCAAAAGCAAAAAATGGAAGAACCCCACTAAAAGAATGGCCTGAAAATCAATCTGGGTTGAAGCAGAATCGAGTTGGCAACAAGGAAGAACACGAAACCCACCTGTAATCCTTGAAGTATGAACCAAAATCAAAAGAAGAAACAGCGAAAATGAGGAGAAGGAAAATTAGGAGGAAGAAGGAGACATATAAAGGAGGAAGAAAGGAAGAAAATGGGAGAAGTGGGGCAGTCTGATTCGGATTAAACTTTATCCATTTGATCCAAAGAATTGAGAGAGAAGAGGGTAAGATTCGGGATTTGGATAGTGGGTTTTGTTTAAATTTGGACTTTATCCAGGATAATTAACGATTGATTTAAGTGGATTAGTATTTTGAATCTCTAAATTAAAGGCTGATTAATTGTGGATTAGGTCTGGATTATGAGGATGGAACGGAAATAACGCGATTACTCACTATAATTTTCCCATTTTCGCTTATCTTCCAAATTTTTGGATAAGGATTTTTCTTTTTCTTTCCTTTTCTTTCTTCCTTTTTTTTTTTTTTTTTTTTTTTTTTGTTGCAGTTTTGAGTTTCCACGTATTTGTCATGCGAAATTACTCTGTTACCCCCCTTTCGTCGTTATCGAAACACACGTTAACCTAGATGCTTTGTTTCTGTAGCGTGTAATTACCATTTTACCCCGTCGTAAAGAAAAATAATATATATTCTTTACTCTGAGTATCACATGGCATGGGTTAGTTGGAGTGAGTTTTATTATTATAATTTTTAAATATTAATATTAATTTTAAAATGTAAAGTTCTATCCTTAAAAGAAAATGAAATCATGATGATTACGCAAAAATAATTACAAATGAAATGGTTACGTATTGCATTATTGTTTATCTATTTAAAATATATTTATTCCAAATTATATACCAAACTAGGTGTTTTATATTACAATGATTACGATTTCTCTGTGAGCTCACCAAAAAAAAAAAATAGGATTTAGAAAAATTAACGAAACACTTAAACATACTGTAATATATATTTTCTTGTTTAATAAATCGAAGAATTTAATAACATGAGTACAGTTCAATTTATTAAAATAGCAGCTAAGATTCTCCCAAATGTAGTCTATCTTTACACATGGAAAATAATTACCCTAATAGAGGCGGCCGTAGATCGTATGATGACATTGTGTTCTCTCATCAAAATGGCATCTCTCATCGAGTAAGATTGTGACATTTATTGAAGAAAGATGATTCATTCTCATGGTATGTCCACTTTATCGTAATAGACAGTGTGATGTTAACGATTTTATTGATTCTCACCAGTGGAACAATATATTGACAGTGAAGAACTTATGTCGACAATAGATATAATAATAGAATATCAATCTTCCTATATAAAAAATTCGTCTATATATATATATATTTTATTTGTGTTTGTAATTATATATATATATATATATATATATGTTTTTATTTATGAAAATGATATTTAGATTTTATAATTTAAAATATAAAAGAAAGCTGCATTTATTAGAAGGGAGATAAGATCCAGTGTTTTGGAAGCATTGAATGCCCACTTTTAATCTAAAAAGATATGATGTTTTCTGTCCTTTTTTTTTTTTTTCTTTTCTTTTTCTACTTTCTTCGTCTTTAACTTTTGTTTACTTTAAATATAAAACTTATGACAAAAATTAATAATAGAATTTAGGTTATTTATTTATTTATTTTTATAAAAAAGAAAATAATATACTAATTTAGATAGTTTACTGCTTTTTTTAATTACAATTTTAACACAAATAGCAGTATTCAATAAATTTCCTAAATTATTTTTTAAATAAAGATGAACACGCTTAATTCTCTGGAATATTTATCAAAACAAATAAAATTAACAACATATAGATTAAAGATGAACAAATTAAAAAATATATAACTAAATCAATAAATGAACAATTTAAAAAAAAATAAATAAATAAATGAGGAGAACACAAGAGGAGAGGAGGGATGGAAGCATTTAGTGGGAACACGAGAGTCTGAGGGTGTAAAAGTAAAATCCGTGGTTCGTATTTTGTAGGCTAATAAATAATCCACACATTTTTATTATATGGTCATGTGACATTTTCCAAATATATATATATATATACTAATGTCTTTCATCTCATTTATTTTTATGATATGCTTCACTTTTAATAATCTAATTTACGTCTCATATTCAATATATTAATTAATTAGCATTATGTATGAAATTGCATTTGGAAATCAATTTTTTTTTTAAATTATTATAAATTAGATAAATATATAATTGGATAAGTAATTACATTTTTGTATAAATACAATTACATATGTATATATATTCCTATGATCCATATATTTTTGTATGGCACATGGGCCGTGGTTGGGCCTTCAGACACAAAGGTTTGATGGACAAAAAAAAATCATGACTTGTTTGTTTGTTTTTTATTTTTTAATTTTTTTTTTCACTTTATAATAATATTATTTTAACTTATTTTAAGAGGCACACTTGGTCTTATCTTATTTTCACTTTTTTTTATAAAAAAAAATTATAAATTATTTTTCATTTTATTTTTTTTAAAGGTATATTTATATATTATTTTAATTAATTATATTATCTTAAATATTTCAAGTTTCATTTTTTGAATAATTCTACGCTGGATTATTATAAACTTATTTTTACTATTTTTCACTTTTATGCATTATTTTAATTTTAAAATTTATGTCCACTTCTTTTATATTTTTAATTTGGTATTTATTAAGTTCTTTGAATCTAATAGATTTATCAACTTTGAGATTTTTTAACTTTAATTTTATATCTCATTAAACATCAAATTTTAATTTTGTAACAATTAAATATATTGATTTTTTAATTAAAAAAAATATTGAATACTTGGAAAGCTTATTTAAATTTGTGTGTATTACATACAACATTGATATATTAACGGTCTAGTTGGACACATAATAAAAAATAAGGAATTCATTAGATAAATTTTAAAGTTTTGAGACAAATTTTTTTAAAAAAATTTAGAATAAAATTATGTTATATAAGAATATTTACTAAAACCCACGCATTTAAATGACGTGAAAGTTGTATATTGTTAATAATAAATTACAAGAATATGGAAAGAGTAATAAATAAAAAGAGCTAGATATTTACTTATAATAAAAGATCAAATATCTAAATATCGTTGACACTGTATTAAAAATTGGATTAGGGTAATATTGGAAATTTGCCTAACTAATTTGAAAAAAGTGAAGAGGAGTAACATGGGTAGCTTCACCCGAACTTTTTAAACTTATCTTTTCCTCTACAAATTAAATACTTTAAATATGTTGCTTCTACAAATGAAGCAAAGGTTGATTATTTTACCTCAACCTCCAACCGTTTGTAATATATATGTATATATTTATTTATTAACAAGGGTAGAATTACAAATATAACCTTATGATAACTCTTTAGTCTAGGTTAAAAGAATAAATTATTATATTATAAATTTAGAATAGTTGAAAAATTAAGCAATAAAATAAGGAGATAAATTAGATTTAATTTTGAAAAAAAATACATATTTAGAAAATGAGGGTATTGGGAGGGAAAATAGTGGCATGATTGAAGGTGTGGGCAATTAGGTAAATTCGCAATGACCTATGAAGGGATGATGAGTGCTTATATACACACATTCGGCCACCTCTTGTTGACCTCACCCTCTAATCAAGGAGAAATTTAAAATTAGTTTTTTCATTTTTTTCTTTCCCCTAATTTTATCAATTTAAACATAAATTTTATAATATAATTATTTGATTTTTGAAAATTTAATTTGTTTGACGTAAATAAATTTCAATACATATTTTTTGTTTTTTAAAATTTATAAACTAAATAGATATATATTTTTGTGGTCATATTATTTTAGTCAATAAAATTATATTGAAGTTAATTTGTTTATTCCATTCTTAAAATGGTCGGAGTGTTGAAAATGGGAACATCCTGGAGTATAAATAAGGCTGAACCCATTAGCATTTCACACATTCAACACAAACTTGGAAGCTTCATCTTCTTGTACACAGAGCTACAATGGGTGTTGTTGTAGCTCAGTTTTTGTTGGTCACCCTTTTTATTTTATGCTCCTTTGTCCATGGATATCGTGGAACCAGTTGGGTGAATGGCGCTCATGCTACTTTCTATGGAGGTCCCGATGCCTATGGCACATTGGGTACGTTTTCTTCTCTTTTAATGTATAACTTTACTCTATAATCTTTAACTATCGTGTCTCATTAAGATATACGTTATTGACTAGAAGATTGAGTATTTGAATATCTCACTCATTCTCGAACAATTGAATTTTGACATTTTTAGAAGGGTTAATGTAATAAAAATACTTTGAACTTTCGATAACTTTCGATGGAAACCATTAATATTTTGCTTTAAAAATACGTTTGTACTTGTAAACGTTTCATTAATACTCTTAAATTTTTAGAGTAAAAAAAAAAAAACCCTAATTTATAGATCAAAGCTTATGAATATTTGAAATATAGAACTAACTGTCCCTTATTTTTTGAATTTTTAAAAAAATTAAAAATATTTTTTAAATGATTTTAAAATTATTTTTGAAGCACTGAGTAATTTTTACTAAAGTTAGAGCATAATATTAAAAAAAAATTTAATTAATTTAACATTTTCTTAAATTAAATTATTATAGGTGGGGCTTGTGGATATGGAAATGTATACAGCGAGAATTACGGGATTAAAACGACGGCGTTGAGTACAGCCTTGTACGACAATGGGCTGAGTTGTGGGGCTTGTTTTGAGGTCAAATGTGTGAACGACCCAAAATGGTGCCTCCCCGGCTCCGTCGTAGTCACCGCCACTAACTTCTGTCCTCCGGGCGGTTGGTGCGATCCTTCACTCCGCCATTTCGATCTCTCTCAACCTGCCTTCCAAAGCATCGCTCAAACAATCGCTGGAGTCGTTCCCGTTGCTTATCGAAGGTATGTTACGCGTATTGTTTAATGGATTTCTATCCCGTAGCACTGCAACGCCTGTGTCTGTTTGAGTTACTAAATCTGAGATGAACGAATGTGTAGGGTTAGATGTGCAAGAAGGGGAGGAATTAAGTTCAGAATAGACGGAAATCCCTACTTCAATTTGGTACTCGTAAGCAATGTGGGAGGCGCAGGGGATGCTCATGCTGTTTACATTA